GGGGACGGACACTGGGCCTTCCTGACCTGGGCTGGGTGCCCTGAAGCGCTTCCCCTGGCTCAGTTAGCCTGTGCAAAGCACAGAGTAAAGACATTGAAGTGCACTGGCTGTTTTTGCTTTAAAATATTTTAATTGATTTTTAGAGAGAGAGGAAGGGAGAGGGACAGAGAGAGAGAAACATAGATGTTAGAGCAGAACATCCGTTGGCTGCCTCCTGCACGCCCCCTACCAGGGTTGGAGCCAGCAGCTGGGGCGTGTGTCCTGACCAGGAACCTAATCAGTAACCCTTCTGTGCACAGGAGGACACCCAGCCAACTGAGCCACACTGGCCAGGGCCACTGGCTGGTTTCAGTCGCCGACTGGCCAAGTGCAGGAGCAGGCCCTGGGGAAGCTGCATTTCCTTCTGCAAAAGCCATTTATGCCAACCCTGTGTCTCGCATGGACAATTCCAGAAGGGTTCAGCCTGGGTGCCTGGGGAATCCTGGGCTTTGTCCCCAGGGTAGGGAGTGGAAGGGACACTGGCCACTCAGCAGACTCCCGAGCCCCTCGCTCTCCTGTGGTTTCCCAGTTTGCCCTGAGTGAGTTGAGGCCAGGGTGGATGACCAGTGGCTCTGCCCATCTCCTCACCCCTTGTCCCTGGAGCTGGAAAGGCGCTGGGGACGGGGAGCCGTGGTAATGAATAGCCAGGACTAGGCAAGCTTGGAGCCCACGGGGGAGACTCGGTGCTGCTCAGCCGCGAGTCTGCCGTGGCTGGGGGTGGGGGCCCTCCCCACCCATGAGCTGCAGAGCTCAGGCTTTGTCCCTCAGACAGCAGCAGCTGGGCCAGGAGGGCTTGGAGTCACCCGACTTCTCAGACCCTCTGTTTCTGCATCTTTAAAATGGACCACGGATGTTACTTAGTTCCAAGGTGCTTGGTCCCACAGGGCTTCCTCCAGCACAGTGCCCAGCTGGCTCGGGGCACTGCCTGTCACTTCCCTTCTATTTCCCCTTCTCCATGAGCTGACCCTCACCTCCCTTCCTGCCTCATCACCCCCCCATCCCCCATCCTTCTACCCTCAGGGGTTCCCACATGGGCCTCTGTTTGGGGGCAGCCTCTAGGCTTTGTTAGACAACCCCCTCACCCCGAGTGCCCTCTTTCTGACACCGCTGCTTGAATGCCGCCTCCCAGGCCCAGCTCCCCCTCTGCATAACTCTGAGGCCTCCTCCCTGTAGATCCCCTGTGGCCTCATCACTTCCTGCCTTGATGGACAACCATGAGGTCAGATCTTCCCCAGGCACCGCTATACCCCTTGCACCCTGGACCCACCAGTGCCTGATGCTGTGCCTGCCGCACAGGAGATGCTCATTAAATCCTCATTGCTTAGAGTGGAGGTGAACTGAATTCTTGGAAACCTCAAGTTCTTGGAGAACCACTCTGGCCCTGCCCCTGGAAGCAAGTCCCCAGCTGAGAGTGCCCCTAGGTCTCCAGCTGGTGCTCCAGAGCAGGGATGGCCTTGGGGGTGGCCAGGGCCCAGCCCAGCACCTGAGCCCCCCACCCCCAGCTGCTCTGCCCGACCGCATGCTCCGCCTTCTGTAAACGGCTGTGGGGGCAGCTTGGGCAAGTTCCCCTTCCGCTTCCTCCTGCCTCCCCTCCCGCTGCTCCTGCTCCGCTGGGGCGCCTGGCCAGGCTCTCCACACCCCTGGTGCTGCAGAACTGCTCCACTGTCACCGCCGCCCCAGGCCCCAGGCACGATGCAGGCCATCAAATGTGTGGTGGTGGGAGATGGGTAAGTTCCTGGCTGAACTTCCTCACAGCCCCTACTGGGGAGCCCCGAGCCCCTCCTGCACAGGTGTTCCCAGGAAGCCCCCTTACCTGTAGGAGTCCCTGGGAGGCAGCCAGGAGGAACCGTCCCTTCTTTTCCCAGGAAACAGAGGGAGCCCCGGGGTGGGCTGAGGACAGCTTCGCTCTCTCTGCCCACCTCACCTGGAAGCTTCCTGGGTGGAGGGTGGAGGGTGGAGGGGAGGGTGGAGTACTGCCGGTGGGGGTGCCTGGGGCCCCTTGCCTGTACCATGGGTGCTGGGGCAGGTCTCCCATGGGATCTCAGTCTTTAGCTCTGTAGATGCAGGTGCGGGGTGGGGAACCAAAAATCTGACCTTTGTCCCCAGGCTGATCTGGGCTCTAGTCACTGGCTTATGCTGCTGTGTGGCCTTGGGTAAGTCACAGCACCTCTCTGAACCTTGGCTTGGCCATCTGGGATCTTCCACCAGAGTTGATGGGGGTTGCTTCAGACATTTTGAGAGGTTGTCCTGCGCACAGTGCGTGCTCAATAAACGGCAGCCTCCTCCCCTCCCCCGCAGCTGCCTGTTGGGAGGATGTGTGGGGGATGTGGGTGAGAGGCAGAAAGTGGGGACATGAGAGACAGTTAGGGAAGGAGGAGGGAAGAAGAGATGTGATTGTGGGGGTCAATTTGGGGCAGGCTGGGCTGAGGCGCCTTCTCCGCTGTCAGATTTCAGTGACCTCAGGTTTTCGCGTCCCCTTGTGGGCCTCAGTTTCCTCAGCTGTGAGATGACAGGTCCAAATGCCAATGTCTCGTGCCTCCAGCAACAGTGTCTTGGGGTCCAGACCACTGGTACCTCCTGGGGTTTTCTGTAGGTCCAACCCAGCACGTCCCAGCACAGTCTAGCTGGGTGGGCCTCTTGTCCAACTCTCCCATTCCACAGAGGGGCAGCCCGAGGCCTCGGGAGACTCGGCTCTCTCCTGGCCTGGGTCCCTGGCCCTGGCCCGGAGACTGCGATGGGCCGGGGGGCGGGCAGTTGGTCAGGCTGCCCTCAGCTGATTCTGATGCACTGCTGGCCGTTATCGGCCCACTTCTGCTTTGTGTCTGATCGGAGCGGGGCGGGCGGAAGCCAAGGGCGACGGGCCGGCCATTCAGAGTTACCTTGCTGGCAAGCCCCTTGGAGGGCAGCGCCTCAGAACAGCAAGTGACGAAACCGTGGAGGGGGGCCAGGGCTGCCCCTTGGGCCTCCACCTGTGTCCCCTCCCAGCCCAGCAGGCTGGGGGAAGACAGCAGGAATAAAGGGCGATCGCTCCTTATTTAGTACTTTATTTACTATGTGTCAGGCCCCGGGCTCAGTCACACCCCTCTCTTTTAGCCTCTCACTAACCATAATATTAGGCCCATTTTACAGGTGGGAGAAACGAAGCTCAACGAAGTTAAGTACTTTGCCCAAGACCTTATGGCATTTGAACCCAGGTCTCTCTGACTCCGAAACTCTGAGCTCTTAGCTGCTGTGCTGGCTGGTGAGGCAGGGCAGTGGAGGGGCAGGCTTTCCCCACCAGCGGTGGCTGCGCCATGCCCTGCACTGGGCTTGGGTGCTTTATGGGCTTCATCTAATTGGCTTCTCAGCACAGTCCTCTAAGGATGGACTCACCTGATCCCTACTTTCTAGATGGGGAAACTGAGGCATAGAGCGCTTAACTGAGTTGCCCAAGTTTGTGCCACTGGCAGGTGGTGGACCAGGTGTGTGATGGCAGAGCCCTGGTCAAGTACTAGGGACCCTTTGGCATTGTCCAGTTCAGGGGTGTCCCCCATCAGTGTCACCTGGGAAAACTTTTTCAAAACAGATTCCCAGTTCTGCCCACAACCATGGAGCAGATTCTCTGGGCTAGGACCTGAAGTCCGCCCTTTGACAAGCAGCCCAGATGGCTCTATGGCTCTCAGGTTTGAGAACACTGACATGGGGACCCTCAAATGGGGAAACTGAGGCCCAGAGGGGTGGGCCTGGGTCTCTCCTGAGGCAGGGTCTGTGACTGATGCCCGCTGGAACTTCCTGTCTTTCAGAGCCGTGGGTAAGACCTGCCTTCTCATCAGCTACACCACCAATGCCTTCCCAGGAGAGTACATCCCCACCGTGTGAGTCTTGTGTGGGCGGGGCACCTGGAGGATGGGAGACACGCATCACCAAGCCCACTCCACTTTCAGGCACTTCTTGTGTGCTGGCCATGTGTGGGCACTTGGGGGTTGAGCAACTGGGAGATGCCCCAGCCATCTGCCCGGCAGAGCTGCCTAGTGATCTGGCTGGGGAGGCAGCCACCAAGGCCAAGATGAACTGTCACGGGGGTGGGGAGGCTGAGGGCTCTTAAAATGGAGAGAGACTGTGTCAGGGTGCGGGGTGCTGAAGGGGAGCAGGTGGCCTCGAGAGGGCCTCAAGAAGAGGTGTGTAGGGGGGCCGGCTGAGCAGGAGCTG